TTGTTGCTTTGGGAAACTATTTTTACTCACCATCAATGACAAAGAACGTTGTTTTGGGGGCTGGTGGCTTTTTCTTTTTCCGCTCTTTCTTGGATTTATTTTTAGGTTCCTTTAGGAGGGAAAAGAAGCGGAGTGCAGACTGAAAGCTTAGAGGACAGGAGACAGAGATCAAGGGAGAGTGGGGGGATGGGATTCACCCCTCCAAGCTTCAGGCCACCTTACTGCTTATGGGGCTTAGCAACCCATGAGGAATTTTATAAGGGGAATAGGAAAGAGGACTCAGGAGGTTGTGGGCTTTCTCCTTCAGAAAAAAGCAGGTGCAGGTCCTGCTAATGGTTTTCTGGAGAGCTGGAGTAGGATTTGAGATGGAAGACTTTCTCACGGGTCTTACAGCACTTGATTATGCTACAGCTCACATGTCTTTAACACGATTACAGGAGAATTGCTTTGAGGCAGAAAACATCTTTCTGTTCTGTTCATCCCATGCTTAGTACAAGGGCATGCGGGCCTTGATGCCACAGTAATACAGGCCATTATTCATACTTATCCCAGCTTTTATTTGAAACTAAAGTGGTCCTAGACCTTATGGTTGAGAGTTTGCATGCATGACCTTTAAAGACTCCCAGAAAATAGGAGTGTTAAAGTAATGCAGAATATTGAGGGTTTTTTCATCCTTGTGTCATTATTTTTTAAGCTAGTTCCCTAATTTTGAAGGGCCACATGAATGGTTTTTGAACCAGTGATGTTTGGTTGTGGTCTGTTGTAGTCCACAGTAATAAACCTCTCACTGCTCACACTTAGCATTGAGAAAGATGATGAGTTACCAACCCAAAGACCGAAAAGTGCTCTGCACAACTCTAGGGTTGATCAGGTACCCATAGAAGAGAAAAAACAGCCATCCAACCTCCCTGACCTTTCAATCTTACTCACCCCAGGGAATATGCCCACCTCTGTTGATCCCACGTTCCCCTACAGCACCCTGCTGCCTCACAAATTTCCCCAGACAAATGAACAGCAGGGTCATCAGTAGCTCCTATGGCAGACAGCAATCTGCATCCAAGGGGTATCGTTGCTCCTCCTGAGCCTGCAGGAAGGATGCTCTGCACAGCTGCGGGTTGCGTGGGTTTGTCCAAGTCCTCCAGAAAAGCTGATGACAGCTGACTGCGGGTCTGCCTCTCCTGCAGACATCTTAATCCCATGGGAACATCATTCTCACCCCGGTGCTGCTTCTGCTCCTTAGCAGCTTCTTGGAGGGAGACCTGGGTCTCGTCACGGGCACTAATAAAACCCTCTTTACTTTGGCAGGACCCAGTACCACTCCAGTAGCAATAAATCCAAAACCAGAGGGCAGTTTGTCCTTTTTTAACTAGCACAGGAACCTTCAGAAGGATTACATCGGCCTCATGGAAACTGGACCCACTCCAGCCTGGGAGCGCTGTGGTCATGCAAGAAGTCCCCTCGCATCACACCAACCCGTGGGGATGAATACAGGTTGGGTGCCCCTACACAGGAGCCAAACCTGCTTGCAAATAGCTGAGTGAATTACCATCCTTTTTTCTTTGCTCAGCACTTTGCGGGTAGGCTTAAGGCATTTCCAGAGGATTTCCCTTCCCCTGCAGGTACCACTCACGCGAACTTTTGTTTTACCCCGCCTCTTTCCAGTACTCTGGGATTTCTCTGCTCTCCTTCCCCAGCGCCCCAGTCGAAGCGGCTGCTGCCTCAAGGCCACCAGCACCAGGCCTGGCTCTGCCGCTGCGAGGTGTCACAGCATGTTCTCATGTCCTCACCCTCCCCATGCCGTGGCTGCATCCTCCCGAATGACCTGCACACTGTCCCTGCGCAGCACCAGCTGCTCTCCAGCATCGCGTCCCTGGGGGGATGCTACCGCAGCACCCCAGAATTGGGTTTCCATGCAGCTCCCAGGGTAGTTGGCAATGGGAGGCAGCAAGCATTTCCTTGATCCTGTGCCAAGCCTGGGCACGGCCAGATCCTCCCGGGCTCGTCCATCCTTCATGACATTCCCACCTCCCTCCCCTAAAGCAGCTGCATGCCCTGCGTCCTGCTGCTGGGGTGCTCCCGTCCCTGCCTGCACTGTGATTTGCTCAGTGCCGGCAGGATTTATTGCCCCGCACACAGGATTTATCCCCTGTCCATCCATCCCCCATGACTGGAGCACTTTTGTCCCCATGGCTCTCCATCGCTGCCACCTCCCCTCGCCATGCTGCCCCCATAGTACCCACATGCCCCTGCCAGGCTTGCTTGAGGTTTTCACCCGGGCCCATGGGAGCGAACCCACAACCCAGGCTGCAGCAAGTCCCCACTGCAAAGGTCTCTGTGGGTGATGCTGGGGAGAGTGGGGCCGAGTATCCCCTCCAGATGGCCGGGAAGCCACTTGGCCGGGGCCCAGGAGATGCCCTTCTCCAGCGGGGCGCTACCAGGATGCTCCAAGCAGGAGGTGACATCCCCGTGGGGGGGACACGAGGAGAAGTGCTGAGACACGGAGGAGCTCTCCTGCATGGAGCATGTTCGGGGGGGGAGGGAGGGGGCTGCAGGTTGACCTTCCCAGCCCCTAGCTCCCCCCCTGCCCACCTCTAGCCCACGGGTGCCCCCCCCATCCCCGCCCTCCCCTCCTCCCGCAACTCCGGCGCCGAGGAAGCCGAGCCGGAGGCAGTGCTGAGCCGGATATGCAGCGACTCCCCGCATCCCTCCTTGTGAGTATCCCTCGCTCCTCCTGATGCCTTCGGAGGAGATGGATGGACGGACGGACGGGCAGCCAGAGGTGGACTAGTCTCTTCTATTTGCAAAGCTGGGGTGGGGGGAAACCTCTTCCCACATCCCCTTCCCCATCCTCTGTCTTCATCCCCTCTTCCCTCTCCTCCTCCTCCTCCCCGGCCACGATATTCTCCCCCCAAAAAAGGGTGGGGGGAACCTGCTGGCAGGTGGAAGGGATCGGGAAATGCGATCCCATCTGGAATCCCGCAGAGATGTCAGCGAAAAGAAAAAAAAAAAGCCTCAAAAAAATAAACCCCCCAGGAGGGAGGGAGGGCGAGGGGCCGGG